GGAGCACTGTGTGGGCTACAGCATCCTCCCTAGTCTCCTGGGGCTGAATGATGCTTGCACAGACTCATAAGTTACACCTTCCTGTCCCAAACCACTCTGTACAACTGAAAAAAAAATATTTTCCCCCTCAAGTTACATCATAATAGTGCTCTGTACTGTCCTTAAAGTGAAAGAACCCATAGATGTATTACACATACCAGGAAGCCATAGTAATATTTCTTTCGTGATGGGTTTCTCCAGGCTTTGTAAACCACTTTGAAAGCAATTTAGCACAGATTGTAGGTAGGAGCAGTTGCCTGAGTGGCCCGGTAGTTCTTGTCTGACATTATCCTTTATTATACCTTCCTCTAGTAATCACTGGGTTTGAATCTCTTCAAGGCAGAAATCACTTACTCTACACACATAAACACAGAGATGGTATAGTATTTGCTTGTGCTAGATAAGAAAATAAAGATGTGAAAAGGAGGTCAAAGAAACTTGGTTGTTTACCTCCTTATAGTCTTGATATTTGTATATCTGTTTATTTATACAGGCAGCAAGAGGATCCAGTCTCAGTAAGGAATACATTAAGTGCAAGAATTAATGTTTTTTTTTGACAGCTTAAACACAATGAACCTCTAGTCCTAAGGATATGAATATGTACTTATTTATAATAATTTAGTACTTGTGTAACTGCAGGGCTTCTATAACAAATGTATCATGTAATTACATGTTTTATTATATTTTTCCTGGCTTATGAAGTTCCAGGTTTCTCCATGCTGGTCCTTCTCATGGTCCCCAAAACAGCCGTGCCAGCATGATTTAAAAGGGGGTGAATTATGGAGTACAAGCATTTTCCCTGCTGCAGGAAGAACAATCTGTTGACTTTCTCATAAAGCACCAGTGTCACCCTATCAAAAAAAAACCTCATCAGGAAAATACTTCACAAACTCCAAGAGCTATTTTTCCATTTTTAATTTTACTTTTTCCCTATAAGAGTTTCTTGAAACCTTCAGAGAGATAGACACCGTCAAGTCTGCTCAATGGATTAGGCTCCCTGGTTTCCAGTAGGGTATGCAGGCACGCAGATGCTGTGGATGCTGAAAGTCTCAGGCTAGCTCTCTTTCTCAAGCTGAATCTAGACCTCAAGCTAGATTTAGATCTATATCTGGAACATTTTTCTTTTGTGTGCATTGGTTTGCATGTGCAGTGCTATGCAGGTGCCCTCACCTTGAGACAACCAACCACATCTAGTTGGGATTCCTGTTTGGTTTTTTTTTAACTTAAACAAGAAAACTGAGATATTTTGTGACCAAAGCCTGTGAAATCCTATTAGGAACAGGACTTTTATTGCTCCTGAGATTCAGGCCTCTCAAAGCTCCCTATTTCCATGGTGTCTATGCATGTAAAGCTAGACATCTAGGACAGAGCTGTACTGATCTCAGACTCCAAGCAAATGGCAGAGGTTTAACAACAACACTGAGTCCTCTCCAGATGTTTTCATGTGTACCAGAGAGGAAAACGTAAACATATTGCCCAAAGAACACAGGATGAAAAAGTCACCTTGTAAATGGTGATTTCTTTGTAGTACTTTTTGAACGTGTATCAGCAGGGAACTGCACTGTGCAGTCATGTAAATGCAATTTGGTTTTCTTTGTGATACAGTTTTGTCTTCATCAGCAAGAGACCCTTTGTTTTTAACTTCAGTGTCTGTGAAGGATCCTTCTGAGAGCTACTCATCATCTTTATACCTCAAGCGTTTGATTCCTTTGGGGAAAGAATGAACAAGTTGAAGTGAGCACCTCCACAGCAGTTGGCATATCCAGTAGATATTGCACTGCTTCCAGTGTTGGTAGGGCTAAAAAGCAAACCTCTGAATTTCTTTAAATTTTATCAAGGTATGGTATAGCACTGCAAGATGCTGACTTGCAGGTTCCCCAATCCCCCAGGTACAGAGCACCTGATCCCCAAAGAATCTCATAGCATAGGCAAAGAGAGAAGAGTTGGGGAAGGATGGGTTTCACAGTTGCACCCTATGCAGCTGTGAAATACCTTTGAAAAAAAAACAAAGATGTTTTTGATTGATATTTTCTTCCCTTGTTCAAGAGATAGAGGGACTATGACCAACAGTATGTGAGAGGCTAAGGCTATGCTGTCTCTGTGAAAAGACTGTGCCTTGTCTGGAGAAACAGTTTCCAGATACCTTAAATAATATCTAGGGAAATCCTTTACATCCTTATCATTCCTGAAGGCCTTTGAGGGAAATTACCAGCTGTTGGAGAACTGAGTGTAGCAGTTAAGACAGCTGTTTGGAGAAATGGCATAGAATTACCAAAAGCAATTAAGTATGAGAATATAGGAATAACTGTGTATTCATGTGAGAGTGTCAGGGTTAAAAGCACTGACTGTCACAGCTTTGGACACAAAAAATCCCACCCATCCTTGTAACAGTGAGATGAAAATTTGGTAATACTAAAATGGACACTTGCTTTGAAAAATTATCTGTTTTAACACCAACTGTAGATCCAGACAGCTACTGTCTTTCACAAATGAAACTATACCCTCAATGCAGATGATTTCAATGAGAAGCTCTGCCCTGTCATGCTCACATACCTTTGGAGAAACATGAACAGTGTGGGGAGCCATGAAAGTGCTGTTCTTTTCTATGTGCTCCTGAAACTGAAAAGCTTTCAGATCCTCCAGGCCCTTTAGGTTGCTTTCTCTTCCCTTGCAGCATTACGCGTTACATTGGACATTACTCCAGAAGAGAATTTGTACCTGTCTTGTGGATACTTCAGATAAAAAGTTCAGTACTAATAGTTTGGAATGAAAGCCCACAGTGTGGTGATTCAAATCAACTTCTTCCAAATGCTTCATTTTTATGCTTCCTTTGAAAGCCTTTTTTTTTTGAGGAACTATAAGGAGAAAAGGGATATTTATTTCTAGATGCACATTAAATTCAGTAGAACAATGAAAAGAAACAGACACTAATTGTTCTCTCTGCTGCATATAGTCAGTAATATGCATGCTGCCAGAAGAGACTTGAGATGGCATGCAGCTTGCTTCTCCCTTGCCTCTATCAAGCAGTTGCGAGTTAGCACTTTGAAGTTCTGAAATGTGCATCAGGCAGGAGCCAGGATGGTGTGTATTAGCCACTTTGAGTCAAACTGCATCTTTTCAGTTAGTACTTTGTGGCAATATGTGAATGCATTGCCTCTAATTCCAGCAGTATTTTTCTATTTCATAACTAATATGTTGCAATTTGTTGGTAAGTTTAGAAGAACACTATGTGCGTACTTGGTTCAACACTGGTACAACCTTGGCTTTGTCCTGAGGAACCTAAGGTACACCTGAAATATTTAGCATGTGTCTAGATGGTGAGACAACCTACTAAGCATGTATAAGCTGGCAGAGACCAAACTGATATGATGCTGACTGGTCATTCCCACCCCTCAGTGAGGCTGCAAACAGTGGTAGAATCTAACCCAAATCCAGCCAGTGAAGGTCTGCAGTGCCACATAACAGCATAGATGGCTTAGCAATCCCCAGCCTGACTGTTGCCACCAAAGTACCAAATGAAAATATTGCTTTTAAGCAAATGGGAACAAAAGCATGTGAGTGCTGCTTTTGGAAGCCGTAGCTGAAGATCACAACAGCAATAAGGAAGGTGTAGGGGCTTATGCCTCCTATTAAGCTTAGAATGAAAATTTCAAAAACAGTTTACAATGTAGAAGTTGTAATATAATCAAAATAGAAGTTTAGACAATGTAAATCACTTACATGGTTTATAGCGCTTGATGTACAGGAAAGCAATCAGTCCAACCAAAACACAGGCAGCTGTTAACCCAAAGACTGAGACAACTAAAATGCAGCTTGGGAGCTGTAAATAATTAATAAAGACTATTTTGATGATGCTGTTATTATTTGTAGATTGAACTAAATCAGGACAGATGACTGGCTGGTTATCTTTTTTTGTCTGAGTATTGCAAACAGCAGAAAGTTGAAATACAGATACTTATTCCGACTATGAATAGCATATGATTTACTAAGTTCTTGATAATTTATATAGTGAACAGAAATAAGTGAACATTTAAAGCACTTATTTTTCCTTTTTCCTTGGTAAAAAATAAAATGCATAGAAGGGGGTATATAGACTAAGAATTATATAATTATTGTAGTTGAAAATGAGATGGGGCTTTATGTGTAGTAAGCAGTATAAGACTGCACACAGACAATTAAACTAGAGATACAGGGAAACTTTGATCAAAAACTTAAGGCATGCCTTGATGACAACACACTATTACTTGATCCCAGTTCTCATATTTAACATCATGACGTTTATCAGTTTGCCTGCCTATTCATTGCCAATTGTGCTTCCCAGGGAGATTCCGAAACTGAGTGAATATCCCTAAGCTGGATCTGATCTATGCCATTTTTACCTTAAGAATCCCTGGGGAAAAACATGCTAATATAAAACAACAGTTATCTCCAAAGAAGCTGTTCCTTGAGCAGTATCAGGAGTGACAATGAGTTGGCATCTGTATACTTCTCTTTCCTCCAGATGTATTTGTCACAGAAATAGCACAGCATTGCCTTTTTTTATTTCACTAACGTGTAGGATCCTATTCTAGGAGGGATGTGGTTTCCAGCTGTAAACAGCATTGTTTTCTGGTCAGTATCTTGGTTATTTTTAATACCATGTGATTTGCATATTGTTGTTATCCAGTTGTGGTATACTGTACTTGGAGTTCAAACGTGATAGAGAGCTGTCTGTGTTCAGGAAATGTGTCACTAGTTTAGTGCTCATTTGCACTATGAGGGTCTCTCCCGAAAGGAAACAGCATAATCAGAGAAGAAAAAAAAAAAAAAAGGAAAAAAAAAAAAAGAAAAAAGTCCTCTTGAAACATGGCAACATGGCTCTTGAGGGATCATTCAGTTTTTTGACATCCTGTTTTATCATGGCACCTCTTTGCTTCTTTATTGCTCTTTAAAAATGCTCAGTTACGCTTGTGTTAGACTCCCTCTAGTGATGAAACAGTATGCAACTTACATGAAAAATCACTGTTATAACTGATGTTGTCACTTCTCCGTGGTACTAACTGCATTGGCAAGGTCTGCACTACCTGTAGAATAGGCATGGGCTCTGTTACTTCACTCTTTGCTACTGAAGCATGTTGTGACTGTGGAAATGTCCATACACAGAAGTTTGCACAGGACTGTGCCCCATGGCCCATCCTCTCCTCCTAGATAGGCTCTGTATTCATACAACAGGGTAGCTTGATGTGATGCAGGGTGATGAAGGCCTGCCTATTCCTCCATCCTACTTTCTCCACTGCCACCTGTGATAGGGAGCACAAAAATTGAGGTCCTCTTCTCAATGTAGTATTAACAGCAAAAAGCTTGTAGGAGAGGGTGTGAAATAAGATATGAGGGCTATGCACCACCACCTTCTACAACAGAAACAGCTCTATAGGCAGTTTCTTAGAACATACCAGCTGTGAGCAATTATGTGTTAAGAAACACATTTGAGTAAATACAAATCATTTGCAGCAGAGACTAATCAGCAGTCACTGTGGAGTCGTTCAAACAGCTACCTGAACCAATGGAAAAGGTGCAAAGAATGGAGAAGTCAGCTTTGTAGTGCTGCCCCATCCCTACATTTGTCACTGAAAAGTACACCAGGTTTAGAAACTGAAAAACTAAAAAAAATTACTTTCCTTCATTGATACAGTATTTTACTACACAAGCAACTATGCAAGCTGTTCTTTAGCATGATACTGGATGGTATAATTATAAAAAGTGCTGTTATTGTTAGATAGAAAATGATTCTGGTAAGTATAGATTTTAAGGCATTAGAAAACAATAGGGTAGGTGGGTTTGATATTGGCTATCTGTGGATGCATAAATAAATAACGAGACTCAAGATAGTTCTCTATTTCCCATTATGTAAAAGAAAATAAATTTCAGTTTTAGAAATGTAATTAAACTACAGGGAGTGTTGCTGTTTTCAGATGAGATTCTCATTTCACTGTCTTGGTACAACCACCTCTTCAGGTATTTGAGAATGTAAATAAGAAACTAACAGGTATTTGAGGATGGAAATAAGAAACTAACAGGTTTTTGAGGATGTAAACTAACAGGTATTTGAGGATGTAAATGAGAGAGTACGTCTGGGGCCAACCTTAGGGACATCTCCTGGCATCTGCTACCTACTTTTGCACAACTTACAAAAGGACAATCTATGGCTCAGAGCCTTGCTTCTGCACAAAATGCCACCATACCTCAAGGTTGGGGTTTTTTTCAAGCAAGTTAAAATTACAAAATGGAAGAGTCTAATGTGGCTGCACACGGTACCATGTCCTGTGGATCTCCCCAAGAGTCACATTGCCACAGCCATTCTGACATCCTGAAATGGCTGGCACCTGGCTTTGCAGGGAAAATCTGCAAGCAAAGAGAAAGCAAGCTATAGATAAACCTGTTACTAAACCTGTGGGTGCTTACCTTCTCTAGGATTTCTGTTTTGAACTTGAACAAGACAGGGAAGCATGTGGTGTTGTCAAGGACTTGTAGTGCTGTTGCAGTAGCATTTTAACTAGTTGGTTTTGTATTTTTATGAATATAGAAAATTGAGCGTTCAAGTACCTCATTAGTGAATAGCTATTTCAGTGAGGCAGCTGGGCCAGGGAAGAACAAAAGATACTTGGATCTTTTTATAAATTCCTTTTCGCATCTTTCCAGAAAGCAGAAAGTGGAGGGCAAACAGCAAGGGCCTCTGAGCGAAATACAAAGTTGTGCACACAGGCAAGGTCTAAACGAGTTCCTTTCCCACCAGGTTAAAATAAAACTATAGACGTCTGTCACTGTGCTGAGTTTCAGTTTAATCCAGTTAAAAACTAATCTATACAAAGTACAGAGTGGACTTCTTTTTTTTTTTTTCTTACATATATTGCACTGGAGGATATGAATTTGTACAACACTGACCAAATCTTACCCCTTCATCCTCCTACCAAAATCCCAGCCAAATGCAAAACCAAATCTCTGCATCTTTGTCTTGAAACCGGTCTCTCTGTGGAGTTACATTCAGTTTTCGCATAATCACCTCCCAAATGAAAAGCAGAGAAAAGCAGAGTACAGGTGAAAGTAATGGTGCCCACGATATTCCAGTCCTTTATCTACCTATGATTATAGCTTTCTACTTTCTCACTTAGCTGTAAGCTTAATTTTTTTCCCATCCTTAAAAAGCTCCTGAGAAACCAGTACTGTGGCAGAAACATGCTACTAGTGGCTACTACTTCTAGTCTCTTTTATGGATGAGAGAACCAAATTGGGATTGAAAGCAACAAACACTTTAAGAAGCAACAAATCTGGAAAACATTTAATGAGTAAGCATGACTTGAGCACATTGCATAACCTCTAAGGCAGATGTTCCTCACAGTGAGATAACTCTTATTTAAACCATGCTTCAGAATTGATCCACAAAAATAGTTTGGTGACTTTATTACACTCAGATGGAGACTTTGTTTAGCCTGGGCCTGAAGAAGACCTTTCCTCTACAGAGGAAGACAGTATTGGGTGAACACAGTCTGTCAACAGACCAGAACTGACAAACCAGCTTTTGTAAGAGCATCCATTCAGTCCCTGCCATCTTAGTAGCCATGTGATTGATACAGGTACCCATACATACGTGATTTTTGTAATCAGGTGGACAAGCACAAAGTTCTAGTTTGGGCTCTAATCTGAAAAACATTAGGCAACAAACTTAGGATGTGTTCAGTAAGAGTTCCATAACTTAAGTGTTATTGAGGACTGCGGCTCTGACTTCCACATGATTTAGGGCAAGTAACTGTCAGTTTGACTAAACCTTATTAAGAGATAAAGCCATAACCAATTCCAAGCTTTAAAAAACTGCCTGTTCCCACTTCTAAAAAATGAACATAAAGTCTGTAGTATATTGCTAAACTGCAAGCCTACTAATTAATTTAACAGACAGAAACAACATTCATGTATCAGCAATTGAAGGAAAGATGCAACACTGTTTTATACGGAGCACGCCTCCGTGGCTAGCTGAAATGCAAAATGAGCAACTTTTGCTAATGCTAACTCATTATGAAACAAGTGAAAATTCTGGCTCCTCACAAGTGGCTTCCTCAGTGTCACCACTGACACTAAACCGTGGCAAGAAGAAACCGAGTTCAGCACCCAAGTTACAACAGCTCTTTAACAAAGCTCTGAATGTTTCAAACTAAATGGGATAAGGGGGACATAATATCCATCTCTAACAGCAAAATATAAGAGGCTGCACTGGAACGGAAGCTTGAGCATTACATTGCAAAGCACATAATTACATATAATGACATTTGTTGTTAGGAGGCAGATGTAACCTAAAGGAATGATTTGTATGATAGAAATGCCTTCATACCAAGGTTTCAGTCCTTGGTTATCTGCAAACATCTGTGGCTGTATTATGTCCTCTCTAAGCTTTCATGTGGGATAGGGAGAACTCAAGAAAATTTTACCCTTGCCTTTTCCACGACATTTAGGTAAGTTTCTCTCTTTTGTTTTCCTCCTTGCTCTGTTACCCATTATCAGGCTACAACCCCAAAGCCAGAGCTGTGCACTGAGAAACTCTGTTAGTCTGGATGTAGCTGTAGCTATGTCTGGGCCTCTTAGCAAACAGATGAGGTTGTTGAAAGGTATTTCAGTCTCCTCACAAAGACATTATCAAACTGGTGTTACATGGAAATGACAAACAGTGGAGACATTGGGTTTGGAAACTATAAATTGTTATCCTCATGCGTAGAGAACAAAAATTAAAATAATTCCAATTATGTGAGTAGTATACATGAAGGAAATATGACATGACAACTAACAAGACGAAACAGATGAGGAAATCCAGTGTGTTCCGGGAGTGAGTTCTGTGTTCTGTGAGTGTGTTCTTGTTCTGAAGAACAAGAATATGCCTAGGCCTGATGAAAAAAGCCTTAAACATGTAAGGAATGTGCCTAGCTTCTATCAGTGAAAGCTCTTCAGAGTGAGAAACCTCCCAAATGTCAATAGAAAATGTAACTGCCGCCTATCTTTTCTGAGTTTGCTTAAAATATTCATGTCTAATTTAGAAAGGAAAATCTTTCTGTAATAGAGGCTTGCCCCTGTTTCTTTGCTCAAAACCCAAATGATATCCTTTAATAACACTGTCAGCAGTTAGCCACAGAAGGGGAAGGAAACACAAAGAATGCTTGCCAAGGTGTGTTTGTATCAGTTCAAAGCCAGTATTCTACAGTCAGAACAAACTGTGTTAAAAAAAAAAAATCCCCAAAACCACAAACAAAACCAGACCAAACCAACCAAACAAAACACGACCAACCAACCAAACAAAAAAGAATCCAAACCAAAACACAAACAACAAACCAACACACAAAACCCTAAGCAAATAAAAAAAACCCAAACAGGGTTTACACTTTAGTATACTTTCAGTCTGAAATAGATGACAAGCAGGGACAATCACACAACTTCTCAACATTCTAGTAAAACTCACAGGAAAATCAAATTATTCTTGTAGAATATTGGCTTACAATATTAGGGACCTAGCCTGGTTTAATACCAAAATAATACAAACAAGTAGCACCCCTGTTTTAGGACACTTCATAAACTTACACCAACTGCTGAAGAACTAATGAGAGTTAATAGTGAACCTCTTAAGTTAAAGATTCATGTGTGAGAAAAGCTTTCTGAAGCACATGGTGCATTTTGAAAAGCCTGCCATTATCATAGGAGGTAGGATAATCTGTACAGAAAAAGACACTGAGTCTTGTTCTGTTTTGTACATTTCCATCGACCTAAAATGCTTACTTAATAACATGCAAAATTTTGAAATCAGCTGACACCTGATGAAAGAAACAGGGACAAAAGTACTGTCCCAAGAGCCAGCTGAGTATTCAACGGCTACACAGAATTAATCCCAGCAAGGAGGACGGTTCAGATCAGTACACTAGAAGTATAGTATTCCTTTTGAAGGCTTACAGTGAAATTCTTAGGCTTCTGTAAACATGAAAAATATTCACTGTTCCACATAATTCTTTGCTGTGTTTAGACTTTTCGAAAGTGCAAATCTATCCTGATTAAAGATTAGCAGTTTGATTTTTTTATTTGGTCTCAAAGAAGAAAGAGTTTGGTAGTGCTGGAAATGGTAGGCCTTTATCTATGGTATATTTTGCTTATTAAGATCATTAAACCTATATTTTGCTTCTCAGCATTTCTGGAAAGTTTCTACATAGAACTAGACCTAATTTGACATTCAGGTCAGTTCCCTGCCTCCTCTCTGAGAAGACTGCAATTCATGCCTAAATACAGAACGGTAGACATCACCTCTGTTTTTCCAAGAGGAGAGTTCAACAGCTCTGGCCATAAAAACCTTTAGCATTAATAGTTTCCTTAATTCCCTCCTCCACTATAGCGTCTGATGATCCCCTTGCTGTTTTCCTCACTGATGCTCTGGAGAAAAAAAATAGTTTAATTTATGATTCAAGTCTGACTGATAGTTCATTTCTAATGTTCCAAATGATTTTACAATGATTCTTCTGGGGAAGAAAGTGGAGAGTTCACATTTTACTCTGATTTCCTGCCCACCCCCCGCCAAGACCCTCAAATAATAAAGATGCTATAAAGTTGAGGCACAAGTGGTTAAGGGTGAACTTGATCAGTTCTAGCAGCTGGTTCCCGGACATGTCCTGGTGGTAAAGGCTGATCACCTTCTGCAGGATGTTTTGGTGCATCTTCAACTTTGTGTTCCCCAGCTGTAAAACAAGAATAAAACAATCTGTAACATCTCAATTATTAAATTGGCCCAATCATGGAAAGTCTCTAAAGGAAAGTTTCTAGTGCAGGGACAATCAAATTTCTTGTTTTGTAAGTGGAATAAAAAATTTTGTATGTGCCTAACAATGAAATCAGATCAAGATTACCCAATAGACTGCATTATTATAATATTCAGTGTTTCTTCTAGATTGCTAGTTGTTTCTATTTTCTGTGTAATATTTTTCCTTACATAACACATTGGTTCTTTGAAGATTGTTCTTTCTGAAATGTATTACATGCTTACAAAAATTTTAATCTCAATATGGGAAACTTAGAAAACCAAATTAAAAACTTGCTCCTGTATTTTACTCCTCACTGCATCAACAATATTTATAACATTATCCCTTTGCCTAAGTTTGAATAATACTGATTTTCATAGTTTGCTGAAGATATTAACAACTTGCAGCTGCATTTTTATGTTTTTCTTTTTTCCTTAAATTACTGTTAGTATCTCCAGTAGCCTACAGATTAGAAATATTGTCTACTTGGATCTCCTTAACTCAATGAATAAGTAGTGGGTAATTCTTATCACACCTGATTATATGGCTTTGCAGAAAGTTTTTACATAAAATATGTTTTAACAACAATGTCAGCTACATACTGCTGGTATCAAAAGGTGTATCATTAGTCCAACTACCAGGGCATCTGCTGTAACAGTTTTTACTGAAGGTGAGGGGAAGTGAGAATCTCAGAACTAAGGATCATAAAATGAAATTACCCACAGGCAGTCTTGAAGCAACTGAAAGGCAAAACTAAATTGGTACTGAAATTTCACAGTTTCTCTTCACAGAACTGAATGGCTTTGGGATAGAATTTCAGAGTACTCCACAAAGCAAGCTGTAATCACTTAATATAGCATTTAAAAATTGAAATCCCACTGTTTGCCATGCAGAAACAGTTAAAAGCTTCAAAAGGCTGCCTGGATATAGTCTGAAGTTTTACATTCGAGATGAATGTCAAGTTCTTGAGCTCGATTGATAATGTTAGCACATGAATGTAGAAGCCAATAAAACAGTATTAGTTTCAGTGCTTTTAGAGGTGGAGAAAAATCTAAGTTAGGACGTATGGATGAGCAGACCTCCTTTAAAGCACAAAAAAAACCCCATGGACCATGTGTTAAGTGCTAATATATACCTCACCATTTTGTTGTCACCAGTGAGCAAATGCAGTGACTTATTATGACACTGTTTTCTGAGGGTATTGAAGCCGTTGGTCATTCATACGACCTAAAACTAAATTGTCATGTCATGTTGTGCACAACTGCTGGTAAATTTGTCACTGAGGATAGAGCTGAAAGCATTTAAAGGCTTTGATTTGTTCTGCAGTCTGAGATTGTCTGATGTTCTATGGCTGCATTACTGGACCTGGTCATTTTATATCTGTATTCTTCTCTGGATGCTCAGAAATCCTAGATATGCCAGATAGCAGTATTTTTAGACTGATAGGTACAACACAATCCTTCTGTGCCCATTTGATGACTTGAGTTAGAACTATGATTTTTTTTTATTATGGACTTCAAAGCACTAAGATTTCAGAAACATTTTATAAGAGTTCCATAATTGCCTTAAAGACAGTTTAGTGAACCTATCTACAGAGATCATTAAAACCACATTAACAGTTTCAACGGAAAATAGAATTTTCGTGACTTTTACATTGGAGGTCTTATTTTAAAGTTTGAACAGAAAGCTACATACGGGGTTGGAATTTCAGTTCTCCAGCTGGTCCTGCGGGAGGACTTCCCTGCTGTAGTTTCTTTTGTTCCATCTGTTTTACAACCTAATGAAACATAAAATATGACATTTGAAAAACTTCAATCTGTAAACTTTCTCTGATGCAACATAAATGAATACAATTAAAGTTTGCAGTCATTATATAAAGTCTTCAGTAACAGGTATGCTACTGAGTTGAGATGCTCACAGTTTGCTATAAACCTGAATACAATATTACGTTTTGCTACCATTAGTTTAGAATTCAGCTGGGACTCATATGAGAAATCAAGGTAAAGAACACAGCTGGGGACTGTAATGAGCTGTTACACATATGAGGATACAGAATAGGAAAAAAATTTTCTGTTCTCATAAGTACCTGCTGAAGCTCTTGTTTCTGAGCCTGAAGTTGGTCATGCTGCCTCTGTAGCTCTTCCTTCTGCTTCTGAAGATCTTCAGCCTTCTTTCTAAGTTCATCTTCCTGCTGAGAAATATGACTTTCAAATTCCTTCAGCTCGTCCTCAGTGAAGAGCTGCTGCTGATCTAGTGTCTGCAAGAAAATACATACAGATGTATTTAGCCAGAATGTGTATATATTTTTATTATCTTCCCACTGAAATTATTATTAGATGAACTGAACAGTTCACTGAACAACCCTCAGAATTTTCATCTAAATACTCAGGCATGACACCGTAAAGGGTTAGTACACTCACTTTAAGAAACAGCAAAATAGGTGTTTGTTGGCTATTTTCTCATCAAAATTCTACTACAGATTTAGAGGTAGGAGAAAAAATTCCTCTTGCTTCCAGCTGAGCTCTCATCCTCCTGATTCGTAACTCTTCATTTTCTGTTTGGAATGTGGGAAATGCTCTTCTAGAATCCACATGGTGGCGCAAGACCTTTTCTGTTTGTGCGTGCACCATAAAGAGGACATCTGCATTGCATTACTCTGTTACATTTGTACACTGCATTTAGCTAAGACGCTTAACCACACACATACCAAAACAGAACTGAAAAAAGCAAAGGTCAGAGACATGCCATTTGGTTTCCTGGTTAGAGTGATGTAGTACCATATGCTGTACTAGGAACACATTCTCATTACCTCCCAGCTATCTGGCTCCAAAAATTCTTTTTTCTCTGTAGCACGCAGGAACTCTTCTAAAGTCACCAGCCGGTCCTTGTTAATATCAACCTATTTAAAACAAAAAATTAAACTCAAGGTAAAGGATGGGTTTTGGTGGAGCTAATGTTTAATTTCATCATGCCAGTATCTTAAAATATGACTGTTACACTTTTAAACTATCTCATTTTTAAGGGAGTGCCTGCCACTTCCGACAGCTTCTCTCAAAAGGTTATATAGCTTAACAATAACAGAGATAAAAAGTAAATCCTCGTATTTTACTTCCAAATCCATTGGCTTTACTGGAAATATTATTTGTGGTCACAGCCCCAGTGCTAATAGTGGAATGCTTGATTTTTTTTATTAAAATGTGCTGTAGCTTTCTGGTAATAATTTTGTAACTGTGAGTCACAGTAACCTCCACATTTGGATGGGTGGTTCTGAAATATGAAAAAAACCCCAACTGAATTGTGTCAAAATCCTTTAAGGCGAAGGGAGAAAATGCTTCCTTTTATGACTAACAGAAGACCAGGCTTGCTATGTTGCTCAAGGTTATGGAATATAGTTGAATACGGAAAAGATGTTAGTGAAAAACACAGTGGTTCAAAATACCCTCTTCCCTTTCCTCTGTCTCCTGAGATGAAAACCTGTCAGAACTATACACTGTCATAGGTGATACCTTGAGCTGTGTGACTTCTTAGGAAGGGACAAAGGTGAGACAGGAAGACATTACTCTCTCACCTCAAATATAAATCTTACACGTTTGCCAAGTCAAAAGCACATTTACCATCTTCCCTGTTTGACACAAAATGCATAGGAATTTCCACTGAACCTCAGTCTCTGCAAAAGGTGGAGGCTACAGCACAATCTCTTCTCTGGAACTTCTTAAACAGAAAACAGTCAGCAAACATTTACATCAGAATATGGCGACAGCACTTGAGTATTGTAACTTTATGTGAATCACAGCAGAAACAGCATTCAGTGTGACAGGGTTATCCCTTTCTGCTGTACTTGGACAACCCCTTGTGTTAGGAGGTCTGTATTTCTTGAACATAGAAGGAAATTAGCAGCTCTACTGAATATCAGTCCCCACCTCATTCATTACATGTTCTCTCATTCTCAGCCTTTCCTCTTCCATTTCAACCATGTCATCCTCTTCATTTTTGGGATCATAAACTTTTTCTAGCTGAAATTCAGAATTAGCAAATGTTAATTTGGGGAATGGGCTGCTCATTCAAATGAAAGAGTGTATTTGGAACAGTAGCATGAGATGCTGCTAAAAACATTAGTTCACCATTTTTCCAATACAGTGAGAGTGTATTTTAGCATAGCATTCAAGCAACAAGTACCTTTCATTGCTAAGCATGATGTTTTCAGTTAATTCATATGGTCTGTTGAAAGTTTGGTTGTAATCCAGTGCTGTGGAAGTTACAGTAAAATTGACTAGTCTGATCCAAAATTTAACTCAAAGTAGGCAGAATTTTCACATGGTTTCTGGAAGAGGGATAAGTAGCTTTTTTTACCAGAGCATGCAGCTGACCCTGTAAGCATTCAGGACATCAGAAGACAAACTGAGTGCTTAGTTTAACGGTCCACTTCTTTTCTTGCACAATGTCTTTCTAGGGGGTTCATGCTTATTTGCTTCTACTTGGTTTTCTTAGTCATTTAGCTTTGCCTGCTTAGCCATAGGTAATTTAAAGGTCCCAGAATATTTGTTTTTAAATTACAAAGCTGCAAAATGGTGAGACACATCTGTCAGAAATGACTGCCATAAATCTTCATGGAATTACAAGGGATTATGGCAAGGTATTGTTAAAAATCTGTATTTGCAAATTTAATTTCTTAAAAAATTTACAGTCACTTGAATTTATAAGTTAAAAGCTTCTATATTATGTATAGCACATTTCCTCCCTGGCTCATGAAATCTAGAAAAAATTGTAAGAGTAGGTACTGACAGCCATAGTACTAGATCTCTGAATGGGAAGTTCAGGGTTTTTTTTCTGCTATACTGAAATGGAACTTACTGGAAAAAATAACACCAAGGCCCTTTGTTTCATCATTGATTCTGCAATTCCCATCACTACGAATTTCAGTACTTCACTCTCATTTTCCTCTGGGAAGCAAAGTAATATTTGCATTTTCACACACCAAAAAGACAATGCTAAAAGAAACTAAGAGCCTGTCTGCTTCATCAGATGTATATGTGCTTCAAACTACCTATATACAGAATACGTGAAATTTCTGCAGCCAGTTCCAATTCGTGCTGCCTTTGAGCCAATTCACATGAGCATGATCCTTTTTCTCTCAAGCCTTACAACTTGTTGATAAGCACTGAATGAGCACAGCTACCCAGGCTCAGAACCTCTACCAGGCTGTGTCTAGCCAGAGCCTGAGTGCAGCTCTCTGCACTGCAATTTATACAGAAATAGATATCCTGCAGATTAATTATAAAATCTCAGACAATCCTGTGGCAGAGAAATACATGAGCACTAGATATTTGATGTCTGAGTCCTATGCTTCAACTACTTTATTTTCCCTGCTGATAGATTTTTACACTTTTGCAGAAACATTAAGGATGCACGAAACTTGGCAGGAATACTGTAATTTGTAGTACCAAGCCCCCAAATATACTTGGAAAAAATACAGGCATCCCTGCTACCATTTATTGAAACAAGTTGTTTCTGAACTTCTTACCTCTTTAGTAAACAGAGCTTCTAATTCTTGCTCATCCAGGAAGCCATCGTTATTGACATCTAGAAAACAAAGTGTTGAAAATACAAGTTGTGTATGTACAGAAAGTAATATGTATAGTAGATCTCCATGAGTTAAGTATCAGCATACACATCTCATGTGGATTAAAACCTCATTTAACAAGATGCTGATTATATAGGTTGTTTTTTGTTTAGGTTTCATCAGGCATTGGCTGAACTCTATTGCCATTTTGGCTGGACAAGTCTAGAGCCATCTCCCTACTTCTTAGATTAGCAAACTGAAATACGTCACAACAGAACTCCACAGACTGTAATTGCCAAAAAATATTGCTGAGGACAAGTTGTGGCAATTTAACAACTAAGTTTGTAAAAACATTCAGGAGAAAAAAAAAAAATCTGTAGGAAAAATTTGTTAACCAACAGCATAACTCTCCAAATAAACTAAAGAATTATGTGAAAATCGAATGATTTTTCATGGCAAATGGAGAGAGGAAAATATTTGACAATTAATGCACCTTTTATCCTACATTCTACTCTGAATATTGTTATACTATCTCTAAAATGGAAAGATAATGACTACTTCAAATGAGTGTTATTATGCAATATTGTTAATTGCTTCAAAGTTTTACATATACTAAGCTCCAAGGCAAAAGGCTATTTCAGCTATTTCTCTTTTGGTAAAATTTGCACAAAAAAAGCTACCAAAAAGTTTCAAAACGGTATCTTTCAAGATCTCTTTCCAGAAAGAAGATTTAATAAGTATAATACGTATTTATATATTGTATAAACCAAGATAAAAGTTCAGACTCCAGCTAAAACACTTCCATTAAATTATCATTTTTGGGATTAGCCAAATTCTATGTGCTATTGAGCTCTTCACAGCCCAGTGCCAGGCAGGATACTTTATTATGAAGCATTTAACAATGTCAGAATATAAGGTTACACATGTATATAATCACATTAAAAGCAAAATGCTCATTGAGATGCATCCTCCTGTCTGCTACTATTTTATTGTTTATAGCTGCTTGGAAATATAGAAGCAGGACTGGGGTGTATTTTGGATTTTGTTTTATTAAGGGAATCTTGCCTCTGAAGAGGTTTGGCACTTCTGTGACTATTCCAAAGATAAGTGGAGTCTGGGACTTATCTCCAGACATGATGAGAAAGTGGGGTTGCCAGCTTTCCACACCTCTATTTACTCCTAGTGCATAGTCTGTAAGCAGTTATAGATATGGACAGCCCTCTAACTTCTCATACTTCCATGAGGAATCATTACTGCATTGGCTGTATGATTTTATGAGTAGTTAAACAAAACCCTGTTTTCAACTTTTAAACCCCATTTAAAACGTTGCATTAAACTTAGAAACAATAACATAATTATTTTCTCCTCTGTACTCTTCTGATTCATCCAAATTGCTCAAGGTATAAGACTTCACCCTAGCATAAAACAAGTTTGCCCTGAGCAAAAGTAACAGAAAGTCACTTCAGTCATTCATTAAATTAAGCTAAACTTCTTACCGTGTAATTTGAAAAATGTTTTTGGGTCAAATTCATTAGGATCCAGCCCATCTGCTTCTTCCCACACCTCTTTCAGCTGATCTTTGCTTCCCTAGATATTGGTTACAAAGAAAACTATTCAAAAGGTGATTAAGTGTAAATTTTCTGCATTACCTCTGCAGTACAGTTTCTTTGAAAGTCTTTATTTTCTGATTAGTTGCAAACGGAATCACTAGAATTCTCCTTAATTCCCTTCTGGTCAGGTCTAATACTTTCAGTAGACAGGCCAGGGAAACAGGGAGTGTCGAGGAAATGCATATTCTGTGGAAAGGAACACCTGTAATAATCAGTTATAGCCACAGAGCCTCATGTAGAGTAAGAGCTAAAGGAAATGTATTTGCCTTCCCTAGAGGAAATGGTACTGTGATACAGTTCCTAGCAGGCCAGGAACACATGAAGGGAGCCCTACAGTTTTAGATACCAATCTGGCTTCTTCCTCATAAGATTTTGCTTCTTTCTAAATAATAATTCTGCCAGCAAATAGAATAAGTGTCAGAAAAATGGGACATTTGTAATGCTCTCAGCATTGTTCTCACACTTTGCTCCCATGTCAGTGAGAAGAGGCAAATGCTCTTTATTATCTTTTTTCCTCTGGAAAGAAAAATTTCCACCCAATCATGTAAGAATACACTGTGGCCTTACAGGATGGTGAACTTTAGGGTGATCTCCATGTTTTTTCTTCATCTCCTCAAACTTGGATTCTTCTCGCTGCCTCTTTTCTTCATCGAGTGTTTTTAAATACTCTCTCCTCTCATGTTCTTTCATCATCTCGTATTTCTTAAACTCCTCATGGCGGGTCTTATCATAATTTTCCAGGTCACTTGTAGCCTAAAAATATAGATATGTGTAGACATTTGATTATGCTACATGACTGTGTTAACATATGACATTAAAATCACTGACCCGTGGGCAAGGCTGGCCATATTGCATTCTCCTTTTAAAGATGAGGTAACTAGTTGGGGGTTTCCTTTCATGTGATAGTGATGCAGAAACAGCGCTTCTCGCTTTATTATTTTCACAGAAATTAATCTGAAAGGGTTCAACTACTAAATAATTTCTGCAACTACACAGTACTGCAAGATAGCATCAAAGTGTCCTTGCTCATCAGTTAAGAATAAATTAACTCAAGTAATTCCTATACTAATGAAGTGCAGCTTCAAATAGTTCTATTAACTCCTTGATAATTTCAGAATAGGAACATTTGTAGCTTATCCTCCAGTTTAATGAAAAATGTGCTTTCATTAACAGTGGGAGTTAGTCTGTAGTAGCTTAATCATAGAATCGTAGAATAGTTAGGGTTGGAAAGAACCTTAAGATCATCTAGTTCCAACCCCCCTGCCCGGGCAGGGACACCTCCCACTAAAACATGCCACCCAAGGCTCTGTCCAAGCTGGCCTTGAACACCCCCAGGGATGGCGCATTCACAACTTCCTTGGGCAACCTATTCCAGTGGCTCACAGATTAAATTAAAAAAAACAAAACAAGACTATATGGAGAGAAAGAGTGTGAGGGGAGAATTTTTGACAAGTGCTTGCATACAGTTTAGAGATGCATTATTCTCAGAAAACTCAAGGTATTAAAAGGATGTATCTAGTAGTGCTTTCAAAGTAACATGCTTATACCCGATATAGTCTCTCCGTTATTTACATTTCAGTTTTCAGATTCACCTTATCTTTTCAAAACCAATTCCAAAGCAAAGACACCTCCCCTCCAAAATTCCCATTACACTCTGTCAAATCTCAGCTGAGAAATGAAAAGACAAAACAAAAATTACAAAAAAAAAGAACTGCCCTGCTGAGAATATGCTCCTCCTAGCCATTCACAAGTTTCCCAGAATTGATGCTCAGAAATGGCAAGAAACATTAGATCTATATAAAAAAACAAGTTTACAGAAAATTGAGATAAAATTTTCCAAGGGTAAAAATACCCCACAAAAATTACAGAAAACTTGAAATACACCCTAAATCATAATTTATTTTGGAAACATAAAAGCCATCAAATTCTCATGTCAGACATGTATTGCTCTCTAAAGCATATCTGAGATAAAAGTCTTCCCCTTGGGAAGTGTGTTTTTTCCAGCAGCTGAAAAAAGCCATGCCATGCTTAGCTTACCTGCATCCCCTTTATTTAACATACACTAAATCTCCCACACGCATACACCTGTGAATGATACTGAATCTGCTAAATAGACATTGAAAGCCATGCCCAGCATGTGCAACTTCTAATATTGGCATCTTAAATTCTACTCTGCTGTGGTTTTGTAGCTTGACATATATGTAATAGATACCAAAATTAAAATTGCCAGTTTAGGGACGATTATTTATTTATATGATTCTGAGAGACAACTAAATAATTCAGAAACAGAAAGCAGCAAATACACTTGGGAAAAATGTACCCCTATCACAACCATATTTAATTTAAAGGCATTGGGTTGTGCTGGCACATGAATGCAAGTCCTGTTAAGATGCCACCCCAAAATTTATGGGCATAATATAGTATAATGAACACTGACAACAGTTTTCAAGTGTGCAACAGAGACAACTGACTTTCCTCTGTAAATGAAAACTGCATGTCATTTATAAAGAAGTGTTATTTGTAAAAGGATATGCTTTTATCACAGAAAAAGCACCATAATAACTAATACCAGAAAACCCCACAGTAGTTTATATCTAGCACTCACAGCTTTGATCAACATATCTAAGTCTTTAGGTTCGAACGTGTCAGGATTCTGATGGTTCAGGTGCTCAAACTGTTTAAGAAGAGCCTGATGGTCTATGCCAGTGTCTGAAAGAACAAGATATAAATGTAAAACATTAAAATAAGTTTGAAATCAAGTGAGATCACAAAGTTAAAAACTTTCATATGGGTACCTGTGTCTTGTAAGTACCTGAGGCTCCCTGAGGACTGGATAATTTTTTCACTGTTGGAGGAAACAACAGCAACACTTCTAAAGTTGCTTCTCCAGAAGGATATCAATAAACTTGGTAGCAATTTGCACTATATTCCTTCTGATTAAGGCTGGTATTTCAGCAAGGAAAAGTACAATCAATTTGAGCATCACAAACCAAGGAAAACATTTTATTCTCTTTTATAGAAATGAGACAGTTGAATTTATGGGCCATTTCAAAGCTAACAACTTGCATCTTTTTCCTGAACTGGGAGAAGTCTGACTCTTCTATTGCTTGTACGTTTTGCAAATGACACATACTTGGCAAAAGATGTATGCACAATATGTTGTAAAATTAAATCAGATAAGCAGATATTCAAAATTTCATTTGTGCAAATTGAGAAATACAAAACAGTGGAGAATCAGGCTCTGTGCCTAGAAGCTGCAAATATTTCTGTCTTACAACAGGAACAATATCCACCAATACCCATTCACAATGTACTAACAACAAAACATTTCTACAACAGGCTTTTCTAGCTGTTACCATGATTTCTGACTACTAATGCTCGATAATCATGATATCTTAAGCAGCCTACAGTTGATGTGTTATGTATAACAATTTTGACAAGCTTTTACTAGATGGCTTAGCAAAGAATATTTTTTAAAAAACCTGGTAAACACAATTTTGAACATGTTATTCTTTGGCAAACTGTCTTACACTCAGTACCGTGTCTGTATTATCAGAACAGCAAACACTGGCTTGGGCAGATTTCAACCATCATTCCTTCCTGGTGAGATCATAACTTCTGTTGAAATGTATGAGCCTCAGCCTGTTTTTGAAGCATTTTATAAGTGTAATAATAAGCTTTAAAAATATAAAAACAAAACAAAAAACAGACCCCAAACTCATTTTCCTCTATTTCTTATTCTTATGGGAAAAGACAAAACTCATTCCATTTGGTAGTATTTACTTGCCACATTACTGTATTATTTGAGACTCAAACCCTAACATTCTTCTGTCCTGTGCAGATCAACCCAGTAGGATCTTGGTGAAAATTTTTAAAACCACATCTGGATCAGGACAGAATATATGCAGAATATAATCTCAAATATTTTATTTTTTTTAAGACCTTATCCATCTGACAGGGAAGAGAACAGGGGTGTGGGTATGCTTTTTTTCTCTCGTCGTTTTAGATGACCAAGATGTGAAGTGGTTAAGTGGTGTTACAGAGAAAAGATTAACAGAACAAATAAAAGGAAATCAGACAACTTTGCCTGCTATTACTACAAAATGCTTTTTTTATACATGTTCCAAGATGTTGTCCAAGTATACAGATGCAGCTGTATTTTATTGATAATCTGGCCATACTTGCTGTATGCGATGTGAAGTACTCACTGGCAGGGCTGATTATCAACTTTACAAAATGTTGTCTTACTCCCAATATTTTCACATCTTAGCAGTCATCTGAATATTCTGAACTGCAATAATCTGTTCTTGCTCTTTCCCAAAAATAAAATCTTACGCTTATGTGTAACAGAACTGATCTGTTGGATGCAATTATTTTTCAAAAGCACACACACTTTCTCTTCATTTATGGAAGTAGAAAAGTCTAGAAATAATCAGTCCATTAAACAATTAAAAAAATTCAAAATACACAAATTACTATGAACACAATGAGGTATCCTTAGCTGTTGTCAACTGTCTCACTGTGAGTGTCACCATGATGTCAATGAACTGCTTGCTGGCAAGAGGAGCATGAGACCAGTAACTATGTGGTGGAAAGGGGGCTTAAAAAGAGAAAAAGGAAAACTTTTGTGTTAACTGACCGTAAAAAAAAACCAAAACAACAAACCCAAATAATTCATTTTCTACCCCGTAAAGACATGAAATGCTATGTCATGTTGTACTCTTAAACATAGTCCTACTGTGTTACTAGTCCTTAGTGAGTAATTTTTAAACTGATGCACTACTAAAATACAGGTTGAAAAAGGATTATAAGTATCTGAAAAATCCACTGCTGGAATCAAGTTTAGCTATTTATAAAACACAGACGGCTCTTCTCCCCAGTTTCCTATAAAGATGGCTCTTTATTGGCACTAGACCAGCTCAGAAAGGACATTCGCTTTCAGCTTACAATGCTTTGTTGTCATAATGACAACTGATGGACTTTGGACACCTTTCCAACACAATCCCATCTGTTAACTTACCTAGTTAAATTTTGTATTCTTACCTTGAACAGAATCCATTTTAGCTTTAATTAACATTCTTAGTCTTGCTACCTCTTGTCTTTTTAGTTCATCCAGCCGTGTTCTCACATGGTGGCTTACTAAATCAAGCTCTCTGCTTAGTTTTCCACTCTGTCAAAAAACAAAAGTCATGTATAAAAACTAGAAGACAGTAGCCTTTATGATTCCCATTAGAGGTGAGCTTAAAGACAGCAGACTAGCGGCAGTCTCTGGCAATACTGCAGACCATGCTGTAAGAATCTCAAAATTTTTTCAAAATTCTCAAATTTTTTTAAGCCTATGGTTACAGAGATGGAGAGAAATCCTAAAAGAGATTTTCTAATTTTGCTCCTTCAAAGAGTAAAAGCATGATCTTGAAGCAGCAATATCTAATAATGTCCAAGTGACAAATTTCTAGATCAAATGTTCTTAAATTAGTTCAAAAGAACAGTGAGATGCACACACAGTACTGTGTTCTTCATCCACTTGATGACGTCTGTAAGACTTGAGAAGCACAGCAACAGCTACCAATGTTTATTGCAAGAATATTTATCAGGATCTGGAAATTGATAGTAACTTTCAAGGGGTACACTAGATGTAGGACAGAAGGAGCCAAAAGCTGCCAATGGCAACATGAGGGATTAGGAGAAATGCAACAGGCGGGATCTCCTCTTTAAAGTCTATCACTTCATACTGTTTCCTGTCCCTCCCTTGCTGAATTTCTAGTTCATAAAGGGGAATGCAAAACAGCCACCACCTAGAGCCAGGAACTAAAGCAGAAAAGACAAGAACGTGGTGACATTTTGGAGACAGTACTTATGTGGATTTGCACAAAAGAAAGGACAGCAGCGGAGAAAGACAGACATCTGTTTTCTTCCTATATACATACTGCCTCAGTCTGAGAAGGCAGATACACCTCTGTGTTCAAAATAGTGTTTCAAATTACTCAGCAGGAAACAACAAGTGAGAGCCACGCTTGCAGCTGTTTTGATGTACATGAAGACTCACCTACCTGCACTAATTCTGAAACAGGCTTTTTAGTAGACAGGCAGAACGCAGAAACTATGCATTCAAGTACACATTGTTAGAGGTTTTTTATGATATGGGATACCCCTGACTAAAAACAAAGTTCTAGTAAAGGTTAAATACCTAAATAAATTAAAGTGAGAGGAAATTTAAGCTCACAAAAATTGAGAGGAATATAAAAAAAGAAAAGTAAGAAAGAATACAACATACATGGCTCTTGGTTATGTATTTAACTAACCTTAAGTCTTTACTTTTTTTCTCTTTTATTGTACCTACCTTTATTTCCTCTATGTCAGCAGTCTGAAGTTTCTCCCTGAAATGCTTATCTGTTTCCAAGACATCTATTACTTGCCTGAGATATTCATCGTAATAAAGTCCTGTATCCTTAAAAAAAAAAAAAAAGTAAAATTGAGGAAAAAAATATACCACCAAACATTTCATTTTGTTTAAATACAACAACTAAACCAAAACTTAAATCTCAGTAACTCAGGCATTATACTTTCTCACATACCTTCTTTTTTTTCTCATTTGCATCACTGTCCTATAACAGCTTATATTTACAAGTCATTTGTTTCAGTAACTGACAAGGAAGAGGAGAAAAGTATTTAGGAACCCATGTAATACACAAGCATCTGTCCTAATATAGTATTTTGTTTGGTTTTTAAACAGTGCAATTCATTCATTACTGTTCTATTTAAAACAATGAAACTGGAATGACTAAGTGGAATTTCCTAAACCAGCACTCAATCGCTTGAAAGAAGTCTCTGTGGAACAACAGGCAGTTCTTCCTATTGTTAGCTGGGGAATTCCTTCCATATGCCATCTCACCTTTAGCAGCTCATGGGGAAAAGAAAAAAAATAAAAAAGAATAAATTTAAATGGAACCTTATCATAGTAGATGGCACACTGTATGACAATATTGGCTAGTATTAGTTTCCTTCCTGCAAGTAAGTCACAGTGAAGAACACTTAAATTTCAGGGAGTTTGCTATAGCCATATTACTAACAATTAGAAAAAAATACTTAACTAGATAAATTTCATTAACTTACTGGATTTTCTACCTTCTCTCCTTCTACGTGGCCTTCTCCTTTGACCTTTGTCTTATCTATGTCTATAGGTACAGCATCCAGTGCCATCAGAAGACATGTCATCAGCAAAATACATCGTTGGGGCAGAACAGATAGCCACTTCATCTGAAATGAGACCAAGTCACAAAAAATAACAAATTATGTTATCATACCGTACTGATTAGAATTTCTTCATGTTTCTGCATAGATACCTGTAATACCCCACTTCTCACATGTTCTACTGCTCTCCAGGAACACTAAAAATCAAAGAATTAAATACAGCATTAATTTTTAAAGGCTATTTTTCCACAAGCACATTCTCTTGCAGCTGTATAGCAAATCTAAGTTGTATTGTAACCAGTGAGAGGTTTTTAACATGTTGAGGTACTATCAATGGCTCCACAGAACAGGTAGGAACACTCAATGTTCGTACACTTTTTTAGGATGGCCAAGTCTTTTATAACTAATAATGACATTCCTACTCTAATGGCGTCTTTGCTGAAGTTACTGTCAAACTCCTAAAGATAATCATGGACACTGAATCAGATCTTCATGTAGTAATGCCAGTAGTTTTTGTTTCAACAATGGAGTAGTTAGTCTAATTTGGAGCAAGGACCCCTCCAAAATTTATTAGCAGGAAAAGTATTTCACAACCCCTGTTATATCCATATTCCAAGTTGAGAGATTTTTAAAAAAATACTTCATGCTACCTGAAATTGTGTCTGGGGCTTTATAAAGCCAGTCTCCCCTAGACTTTCTTTGGTGATTTATATGGGTCTAACTGACATAATTTGATGAGCACAGAGCGCTATGAAACTTCTTAATCTCTGTCTTCTCTCCCATTATCAAATTTGGTTGAAAATAGCTCAATTCATGTAGAAAATGGTACGACTGAATATTTAAACAGTGTGAGAGCAGGAAATCCAGCTAAAAAAGTAATGATGGTAATCCAGCACCTGACAGCAGTCAGGCTTTTGGGACAATTCAGCCTATGACAGTCTACAGTCTCTGAATATTCTATAAAGAGCTTAAGCAAACTCCAGTGTTACATTAAATATAAATATAAATCACCTCCTAGAAAGTAAAAGTTGCCAGTCAAATACTGTCTAAAATTAGCTTAGATATGTCAGAGAAAAAGATAGAGTATTTAAGAAATGTGCCATGAAATTTGAAGTATGCCTGCTACAAGAAGAATTTCTGTATAAGTGCTTTAACTAGTCTTGCAAGATTAAGCATTGTTGACACCTGTTATTCACACAACTTACGTAAAATAAAACACTTATTAAATTAAGAAAAGAATAGGATATGCATACAAGATGTACATAAATAGTCTTTCTTTTGTTGCAGATGATGGAATAGCTGGAGATAAAAATATATCCACTTATCCATCTTTTATCTTATATGTCAAAGCCTCAGGAATTCTCTGAAACTGTTTTTCTTAATTACATCTTCAGCAAAAAAAGAGCCTAAATGGATTCTGCTCATTTACAGCATATAAATACCTGTACTTTCATTTAAAAAATTACTAACATCTAATCATTACCAGATGGGACAGCAGGAGCTATTGTTACTGCCATTAGACCATATTAGATTCGATGTCAGTACTACTGTCAATTCCACAACAGCAAGCCTGATTAGGTTTGCATAGGTCATTCCTTTAGAACAAGTAAAAACACAAACAAAAAAAAAAAAGGCAAAACGCAGATTGATTTGCTGGAACTAGTGAATTAATTTCTACACAAGCTGTTGGATTGCAGTAACTTCATAGAGCTGGTGAATGAAGGAGTTAGTTATCACTTTTATAAATGCTCAAGTTCCAATACTTCAGATGTTTTTAATTATGGAATATTGTTGTATAAAGTGTGCCTAGGTATGCAATTTCATCAGATATAATCACAGGAAATTATAATAACTAACAAATACTGGGTTTTCAAGTCTCCTCATCTTGATGTAGATGCCAGATGTATTTTTTTCCTGACATCCAGCCTGAATCTCCCCTCTTTTAGTTTAAAACCATTACACCTTGTCCTATCGCAAAAGGCCTGCTAAAAAGTCTCTTCTATCTTTCTTATAGGCTCCTTTTAAGAACTGAAAGGCTGCAAAAAGGTCTCCAAGGAGTCTTCTCCAGGCTAAACAACCCCAACTCTCTCAGTCTTTCCTCACAGGAGAGGTGCTGCATCCTTCTGATCATTTTTGTGGTCCTCCTCTGGACCCGCTCAAGCAGATCATGTCTTTATTGTACTGAGGACTCCAGAGCTGAATGCAGTACTGGAAGTGGAGTCTCAGGAGAGCAGAGGGGGAGAATCACCTCCCCTGACCTGCTGACCATGCTCCTTTTGGCACAGCACAGGATATGGCTGGCTTTCTGGGCTGTAAGTGTGCACTGCCAGATCACACTGAGCTTCTTATCCACCAATTGCTCTCAACCCAGTCTCCACCCAGCCTGTATTTGTGGTACCAAAAGCACTACAACAAACTCAGGACAGTATCCACCCCTTATTCCATACCATTAATGTCATGCTCAGTATATAAACTGGAGGGAGCTCCCCAGAAGGGCCAGATCACTGCTTGGGTCAGACTGGGTATCAGTTGGTGGGTGGTGAGTGATTGCATTCTCTTTCCTTGTTATTTCCCTTATCATTATTATTATTGGTGGCAGCAGTAGTAGTTTTATATTTTATCTTTGTTACTGGACTGTACTTATCTCAACCCATAGGAGTTACATTCTTTCAATTCTCCTCCCCATCCCTCCAGGAGTAGGGGGGGAGAAAGAGAGAGGAGTGAGTGAGCAGTTTCGTGGCTCTGAGTTACCAGCTCGGCTTAAACCATGACAGTTCTTTTTGGCACCCAACATGGGGCACGAAGAGTTGAGATAACACTTATCCACATGCAAGACTTTGCATCTGACCTTCCTTGTTGATCTTCACGAGATTCATGTGGGCCCACTCCTCAGGTATATCAAGGTCCCTCTGGATGGCATCCCTTCCCTCCAGTGTGTCAACTGCACCACACAGTTTCATGTCATCAGCAAACATGCTGAGGGTTCACTCAATACCACTTTACAAACCAAATCACCACTGGATCTTTGGGCCAGGCTAGGTTACTAGGGCAGTTCAACAATGCTACTGGGAAGTCCTGAACTAGGGCTATCAGTTGTATCTGTTAGTGTGATAGCTCATTTTATGTATCAGTGGCATAGATAATGTCAGTAAGTTAATACGTGTTATAAAGGCCACCAGTTCTTTTAGCTGGCAGATACCATCACCCTACTGGTTGCCCAGAGGGGTGGTAAATGCACCATCCCTGGAGACATTCAAGGCCAGGCTGGATGTGGTTCTGGGCAGCCTGGTCTAGCTGAAGATGTCCCTGCTCATTCCAATGGGGGTTGGACTAGGTGACCTTTGAAGGTCCTTTCCAATCCAAACCATTCTATGATTCTGTGCTTGTCACCCAATTTTTTCTGTCTTGTATGAACATCACCTAATTTTGTCCTCTTTTTTTCCCCAAAAGCAGATTGCCATGTCTGGTGTTAGAGTCATTTTCTAAACACTGCTGCCTGGCATTTTGATATACCTGTCAGCACACAAACGCAGTTAGATCACCATGTAAGCCTGAATAAAATAAATGGAAAGCAGGAATAGCTTAACCTATACAGCAGGTTGGACAGAAATAGAAAATAGTGTTTCTGTAACAGACGGCGTATGACACTGAGTTTGGCAAGTAGCTCCACAGGTAACACGTTTTGTGAACGACCTCTGCTCATTTACTTCATTCAGTGACCCCATAAGTTCTTATACTGGAAGAGATGTAAACAATTTATGCTCTATCATTTCTATATTAAAGCTCTCCAACAGCGATCATACACCACTCCTCCCTCTTCTAGCCTAAAGAGTGCTAGCTTACCTACTGATTCCTGTTACTGAAGCCTTTTTCAGAGCTTTGATAATGCTTGTTAGTCTTCTTAGGGACTCTAGTGAGGGGTAACGGGTTAAAACTTAAACAGGAGAAGTTTAGATTGGCTATAAGGAGGAAATTCTTTCCTGTTAGGGTGGTGAGGCACTGAAATGGGTTGCCCAGGGAGGTTGTGAATGCTCTGTCTCTGGCAGTGTTCAAGACCAGGTTGGACGAGGCCTTGAGTGAGATGGTTTAGTGTGAGGTGTCCCTGCCCATGGCAAGGGGTTTGGAACTAGATGATCTTAAGGTCCTTTCCAACCCTAACTATTCTATGATTCTATAAATCTTTTCTACTCCTTCAATATCCAATTTGAAATAAAAGAACCTTTGGAGCCTAGGCTATGTTACAGATTTTATCAAAACATGGTTTTTTAACAAGAAAGGTTTATAAATTCTAGGTAGGACTCATAATATTTGCAAGGTGATGGTTTATGTCCAAAGCAGACCGAGATACAGTTGTGAGGAAGCCACTGTTCCTTCCTTTTCAGATGAAAAGAAAAAGGGAAGGAAACAAAAGTACGGCAAGCACTTAACTCACTACCTGTCAACTGAGTGTATTTAACAAATAAATAGGAGATAACCTCAAAATTTACTTTGAAAGACTCTGGACGAACAGCCTGGTCAATAAGTTCTCTAAACACAGAGCATCACGGTAAAAAAAATTTACAGGTAAAACAAAAATCCACCTTGCTGAAATTCTTGCAGAGTATGAATGAGGCAGTTTAGTAAATTGGTACGTGAAACGTCGTAACTACACAGGAAGTCTAGGCAATGACTATGAAACAAAACTAATAAAACCAAAAGACTTATGAAGTGTATAACTGTTCTTTCAGTTTTTTTAGAAATATCTTTTTAAAATGTTATGTATGTTTGAAATTTTCATTTAAAGAATCAGTAGCTTCTGACAATGCTAAAATCTTGGCCCCTGATAAGTGGATAAATATTTTTCTGACCAAGATATTTTTGTATCTATAAAATTATAGCAATAAAAGTAACCTAATATTATCATAAGCCACTATAGTTACATAAGGTATGTAAACACTGCTTTTAAAAATCATATGTGGCTACTATTTGAGCATGCTCATTTCATGTAAGACCAACAGGTCATGTGGTGAGGTGAACCACGGCAGAGAAGCCAGAAATTCAAGTGCCAGCCATAGTTATGGCGGTGATTCATTCTTTGCCTACTGCAAGTACTAAAGCCAA